ATCCCCTACCTCTCGTACAACAAAGTATGACTACAGGATACAAGTCACGCTATTAGTCATCTCATTCTTGACTCATAATCTTTTTAAAAAAGACAAGTAGTAAACATTAAAACAAAGTGATACAGGTATAATGGTGAAAATTTGGTAAAAATCGGTGCAGGCAGTGGAGAATTATCAGCCAAACAATATGATGTTTTTAACTTGGCCAGCTATAGGCCCTGCGTCTTTGCCATCCTTCCTTCGTGGAGTTGTATATGTCTACCTTGCTTTCATTTTAGTAGTAGTAGTAGTAGTAGTAGTAGTAGTAGTAGTAGTAGTAGTAGTAGTAGTAGTAGTAGTAGTAGTAGTAGTAGTAGTAGTAGTAGTAGTAAGTAGCAGTAGTAGTAACAACAACAACAATAATAATAATAATAATATTAATAATAATAACAATAACCATAGCAATAGCAATAATAATAATAATAATAATAATAATAATAATAATAATAATAATAATAATAATCTTACTACTAATGGAGCTAAGGCCAAATTTTGCGAACAGTATATTCTCAGAAGCTAAAGAATGAACAAATATGAAACTATTCCAGTACCCATAACTTGAAACGTAGTGTTGCACTATTGTGTTTTCATTAAGATCAAATGTGTGAGAAGAAAGCCCAGTTTAAGTTAAATTCAGTCCTTTTGTAGCGATCGCCATCATTTGCTTCGACATTGTATATTCACTGCGGAATGCTGACTGCGCCGAAGGATATTTTGTGTTCAGTTATACAATATCAATGATAGTACATAACAAGATGGGCCACTTCTCTCTTTGAGCCAATTAAAAAAGTGTCCTCAAAATTTGGTGGCGTCCTCTTTACAAAAGCGCACTCTTTGCGAACAGAGTTAACCTACTTGAGTTTTAAAAAATCAAAGTGAAACTAGCAAGTTTTGGGATAAATTTCGGAAGAACGCTTTTTAAAAATGGTTACGCTGACAAAAAACCTCTTCCGGAGGAAAGGGTGATGGTTTTCTTCGTTTAATTTGACTTCAGAATGAAAGGCGAGAGGTCATTAAAATATATAAAAAACTAAAACTCTGCACTGAACGTACCCGAACTGCTGATGAACAGTTACAGCAGTCGATCTGCGCACGCAAGGAGGTGCTATTCCTATTCTTCTTCTGGAAAAACGAAAGAGAGCTTCAAAACAGACTGCAGCGCCATCTGAAGCAAAGAGCATACTTCATGTGGACACTTTTTTGGCTGAGTGGCCCATCTTGTTATTCACTATCTTTGACAATATGTAGGTTTACGGGAATTTCCGGTTTCGGTCTCATGCCTTTGACCGTCTTCTCACAGCGGGTTTGGAGCGCTCATAATCTTACTTCTTATTACTAATGGAGCTACGGCCAAATTTGGCGAAGAGTATATTCTCAGAAACTACCAAATGGAAAAATATGAAACTTTGCAAGTACCCATAGCTTGAAACGTAGTGTTGCACTATTTTATTTTCATTAAGATCAAATGTGTAAGAAGAAAGCCCATTTTAAGTTAAATTCAGTCCTTTTGTAGCCATTGTATATATTCACTGCGGAGTGCCGACTGTGCCGAAGGATATTTTGTGTTCAGTTATACATTAAAAATAGGTTTACGGGAATTCCCGGTTTTGATTACACGCCTTTGACTTTGGCTGTCTTCTCACAGCGGGTTTGGAGCGCTCATAGAAGAAGAAGAAAAAGGAGGAGGTGTAGATGGTAGAAGAAGAAGAAGAAGAAGAAGAAGAAGAAGAAGAAGAAGAAGAAGAAGAAGAAGAAGAAGAAGAAGAAGAAGAAGAAGAAGAAGAAGAAGAAGAAGAAGAAGAAGAAGAAGAAGAAGAAGAAGAAGAAGAAGAAGAAGAAGAAGAAGAAGAAGAAGAAGAAGAAGAAGAAGAAGAATGAGGGGGAGGAGGAGGAACAGAAGAAGAAGAAGAAGAAGAAGAAGAAGAAGAAGAAGAAGAAGAAGAAGAAGAAGAAGAAGAAGAAGAAGAAGAAGAAGAAGAAGAAGAAGAAGAAGAAGAAGAAGAAGAAGAAGAAGAAGAAGCACGAAGAAGAAGAAGACGAAG